CATCTTCATATTTCCATTCCAAGTCTCTCGCGGTTGGAGACGCACAGAGTGTGAATCTCTGAGGAAGGCTACACAGGCTCCTGGAATCTGCAGCATCGTACTGCTGCTAGTGCACAGCGAAATATCGCTGACAGACTACTGTGTTTTGCGCCCCAAAACTGAAAATCCTCAAGTTCCCAAAACAGACATGTTGCGCTTAGACCTTAGGCCATAACGGAAACCTCGCTTCGCTCGAAGAATAGTGGACACTAGAAACATTTCCTTCCAAGGGCGCGATTGGTTTTCTACCCCCAAGCAAAATAATATGTAAAAACAACTGAGGAAACACAACTAATATTTTCACATGTCCTTCGGGTCCATTATCTTTTCGTTTCCCTTTTTTTGGGTAAGCTCGCCTGTGACCACGGCAGTCGACCCCGTCAAGTGTTCGTATAATACGGATAGAAGAAGGTACTGGGCAGAGAGAACGGAAAGGTGTTGTGAAGACAAAACAACACCATCATCAACAACAACAACAATGAACATGGGCTTGAGTGGGGGGTGCCTCAGAAAGAGTAAGACGGCGGATGTTTCTCTCTTGGTGTGACCGGTGGCAGTATCGATCAGCAATGCCGCACAGACTTTTGCGCGCCGAAATATGGTGCGACAGCTTTATCCTAACCACTTCGGTGGAAGNCCGGTGGCAGTATCGATCAGCAATGCCGCACAGACTTTTGCGCGCCGAAATATGGTGCGACAGCTTTATCCTAACCACTTCGGTGGAAGGAGGATTTCTGTTCGATACGGTGTCAGGGGTACCAGGGAAGACGGGGCCGAGTTTTGTTTGATTCCGGGTGGATGAGGTTGGGGTATTGTTCGTTTTTCTACATCTAAGGTTCGTGCCTAGAGTTCAGCTGCAGTGTTTCAACCAAAGTTTTGTTGACTTATAGGCAAACATTCCTAGCTATTGGGCATCGAGTCGACTTTTTATGTGTGTCTGCATTTATCTACAATTGTCGGAGGGAAAACATAATAATAATAATAATAATAATAACATCAACAATAATAATAATAGTAATGTAATAGTAATAATAATAGTAATAATAAAAATAATAATAATAATAATAATATTAATAATATTGCGTCTCCAAAAAATAAATAAATACTCCCAATAATACAGTAGTCATATCATGCATGCGACCGAAGAAAAACATCGATTCGCGAATATTGCGCGTGCATGTATAGCTATTCTAGCTTCAAGGAGTGATGCCGTAGGCGGTGGCTTGCTCCTAGAGATAGATTACGGTTCTGTCGTTGACACGCTTGTCCACGACCACGTTGAGATGGGAAAGTTGCTTGTTACTGCTGAGAAACGATCAGCAATTGTATGGGATGAAGTGGGGATCCAACTTCATCTCAGGGGGTGCACAGAGTAGACAATTCTAAGGGGGTAGGGGTCAGAAGGGTATACCTCCTGACCGACCCGCATCCTATCAAGAATAAGATGTACCCTATTCATGCTAGCAGCCACACTCCTTAACACTAGCCCACCCTGAATATCATATATATATGCAGATTCTATACTCAAATCAATACTCAAATCCTAGTCTAAAGCATAATTATAATTAAGATTTTAGGTGATGATTTATGATCATGAATCGAAGATATGACTTTTCACAAAACATCCAAAAGGAGGGTGAGTTGTAGAAATATCCCGAATCAATCCCCCACACCATCATTGAGATGAAGGATGCGAACGGTCACGAGACGGAACATCGACATCTCAATGACAACGCTTGAAGGGATAAAGCTACGAAGAACATACATTGCGGCAGAGCACGCTATCATCCTGAACAGACGACGACAGGAAAAAAAAAAATCAATATCCAGACGCCACACACCACTCTTTTCTGCGCACCCGCGCGTATCACCGCTGGAGGAATGAGGGTGACTACCCGAGCGAGTCCAAAATATGGTGACGAAACTCAAAACCCAAAGAATAAGATGTACCCTGTTCATGCTAGCAGCCACACTCCTCAACACTCATAACTAGCATAGTTATTGCCGATTTTGCCGAAAGTCGAAGGGGAAAAGGTATCTGCTGTTTGCGTTAATAGTGACGGCGCCAATTCAGGGTGAAGAAGGAAGCTGGCCTCCATGGAGTGCAGCATCAAATAGGGTTAACGCTTACTGTCGAGTTATGGTTTGCAGCAAGCATCAGCACTTAGTGTAGCAGAAGCAGGAAAATAACAGTAGTGGCAAAAGCAGCAGCAGCCGCGGCAGAGCAACAGCAGTGCCAAGGGCAACATCAATAACATCATCACGCAAACCAACACCAGCACGACGACCGGCTTGTTGTCCTGTTTTGTCGTCCGACAGGATATGCCCCCGCACCTGCATCTGATCATGGCCGGTCCAATCTGCACGTACGTCACGGACTACATTCCTTCTATTGCCGGCGCAGCCGAGGTATGGGCGGCGCCTTCCGCTCCTTTCATCCTCCCAGTCGAAGTTTGGGAACGCTGTCTTGACACTCAGAAACAATGGCTCATCATTACATGTGCTCGCGCTGACTCCTGTTTGTATCTGCGTCTGTAGTATTGCAGACTTTGCAACCCTTCAGACATTCGTCGAGGGCATGGATCCCATTCCCCTCGCGCGTTTCTCGGTGGATTATTGGTATCTTACTTCTGCTACTGAAGCTTGCGGAAGTGTACCTGTACTGAGTATATGTGTGCTTCATTTGTGGAGAAAGAACACGCTTCGAGGACAAGTCCAAAACACCGAAGCTTCACAACGCGAGTTCGGATGTCGTCATTTCTCGTAAACCGTGTGGGCAAAGACGGCATTAAGAATTCCTCGTCTGGGATGCAAGTGGACACGATTCATTCGATACTGCCGACAAATGTTGATGGTGGGTTCATTCATACGTACTTCCGGACGCGTTCCTGTTCTCAACAAATGCAGTCGTCACGCTGCCTGCCCCCAACGCCTTGTCGTCCCATCGATTCGCCTATGTTCACACAGGAGGACAAGCACGCCATCGTTTGGGAGGGTGCTGAGGGATTGTTCCAGTCTAAACACACCATGGTTAGGTTCGCCGAGCATTCGATGGTAGTCTCCAAGATCCCTACCGCCAACGAGGTACATGTTTGGGATGAAATCTTTGCTGAGACCGCAAAATGTTGGAACAGGTCGCTTCAGCTGTCAAGAAAAGCATGTAGGCTGCGCGCTGCGTTTGGAGAAGATTACAATTAATTGGTTATGTGCATACATATCCGACCCAAATATATCGTCAAAGATGTTCGGAGATTGGGGCACAAGTCGCCCTACGCCTTCTTTGTGAGAAAGCCGACCAGAGTACACACTTTCTCTACCCCGAGCCATCAAAATAGTGTACGCTTATCGTCAGTAATGACTCGTCCCCCTCACGCTGTGTAGTAGTTGTCGTCGTTTCCGGTGTGTCTCGTTCCCGCTCTTTGCTGAAGAAGAAATAGAGAAAGGAAGTCGTCTTCGCTCTTGGGCGACACGCTACCCCTACCCCCTTTCGCAGAGTAACGAGCGCAGACACGCTTGCGTCACCGGTCGCCCCGGTGGTCTAGTGGGTAGCCTCGCAGCCTGCTAAGGGCCAGGTCATGGGTTCGAGTCCCGGCAGAGAGAGTTTTTTTCTCACTAAAAAAATCCTGGTCTAGGATGAAAGCGACACGCTGCAAAGCTCGTTTGTTAGTAAACCATAATCGACTTCATAAGTCGCGAGGGAAGGGATTGCTGTACCCTTCTCGCGATAAAAATACCTCAGGCATGAACCGCAGGAGGGGGTCCAACCCCCCCCTCCTATGTGACCCCGATTGGGTCGTCTAGCTAGTAGAAGTGGAGGATAGGGGCCAGAGGGGCAGACGACAGAGTCCAATGATGGGAGAAAAACAAACAAACAAACGCTACCACTTGCCTTCATTGTTCTATTTCCCCGCCTTTCCCCCATGTACCTGCTACGTCGACAACAAACGAAATGGAAAACCTTGTCCTCCTAATTGAAATTTCCCCGCGTTGTTCCCTCCGTCCTTACCATACACCTCTCTGCCCTTTCGCTGCCTGCACTGGTACGTCTTCTACGATCGAAAACACGACATCAAGGGGACCGAGCCGGATGACTACTTGCTCCTGGACGCCACCTGATAAGTACGAGTGTTGCACAGATGGTTGTACGTGACAAAAGACACGTTGATGTAGGAGATATTTCAATAGACTGCCTGTTTCTAGCAACCGATGAAAACTAGCGCAGAGAGCAGTTTCTGCGAAGATCCCGCCTCAAATGGACTTCGCTCTCACGAACCTGTTTGGCGAAAAGGAATCGTTCGCCCCGTGACTCCACCCCACGCAGCAGACCAGCAAATGCTTCAAAACGCCACGAGCATGGGTCGGGCTCACGATATCATGTGCCCGGCAACATCACTACCGTTTGAGACCCAATCACCCTCTTCTCAACTGCGGTCATTCTGTCAAACGTTTCATAAACTATTGCAGGAGGGTTCCGTCGATGGAACGAGAGTCGCCCGCAAGTCCGGACCTTCGTGGTTTGGCTACCGCACGAAAGAACCCTCGTATGAACTCTGGGTATCCCACAGTGGCGCGGAAATCACCCGCAACGGGATGCTCGATTGGACCATCGACGCTGAGAGCAAGGTTTAGCCAACTCCGTCTTGTACGCTCTGTTGCTCCCGTGTCTTAAACTGAGATGCGGAAGCATTCCTGTGAACACCAAGTATGGTATTTGGTATGGGTTGTTTTCGATTCAAGTTAGGGCACCGTGAAAAATGAAAAAACGGTTCGGATATTTTCGAGTCCCGTTGACGGCAAGAGGAGAAGAGGATGAGAAGATGGCTTTCGGCTATATAGACGGTAACTAATCATGATAGGGTGCTGGTGTGTCTGTGGTACATAGAGTGACTGCTCTCGTTACGCAACTGGAGTGCGTGTAGGAAGGTGTGTGTCGTTTTCGAGAGTGGGAAGGGGAAAGGGCAAGTGTAGACTACAAATGTATATTGTGTGTCTGAGCGAGGTTTCATGGTTGGTTGCCCTTGGTTACGAGTTTGTTTGGTTTCGAATCGGGCACGTGTGGAGGACCTAGCGTCCGAGGAATACAGGTTGGGTGAAAATACAGGGACGAATGCATGGGCGGAGGGCAGAACATTGTCGTCCTTGAGTCAAGTCGAGAGCAGCACATACACGGCGGAACGTGTATTGCCATATGGGTTTGGACTGCTCTATGTGGTCATCTTCCAATTTGTTTTTGATCTGAATGGCTCATTTCTTTTTCGTTGCTACTTTCCCGGATTGTCCAGCTCTCCCAGCGTTCCTCCACCCCTCTCTCGACGCCTGACAGCGCAACGTTTCTTTCCAATGGCGTTCTTCTCGACAACAATACGATTCTGCAGAGCTCTCCGGTGTACATTTCACGCTAGGGTCACTATATAATGATGAGCACACCCCACGTGGGGCACGGACTTTCATCGATTGACGACATGGGCAGACCCTCTCCCTCCCGTCACCCCGTCACTTCCTTTCCAGCTACCACCTCGTCTATGCTCTCGCTGCCGTACGGTCTCATTCGTTCATCATGTGTCTTCAAATATTTACGCTATTGTTCTCTTCTGGACGCGTGGACACGTATGTATAGGTATGTAGACTATTCGAATCTTCTTCACTGAGAGTCACCACGCCGCACACAGTTTCTCCATTCTCTCTCTCTTTCTCTCTCTCTCTCTTTCTCTCTCTCTCTCTCTCTCTCTCTCTCTCTCTCTCTCTCTCTCTCTGTCTGTCTGTCTGTCTCCCTCTCTCTCTCTCTCTTTCTCTGTCTGTCTGTCTCCCTCTGTTTCTCCTTCTCGCGCTTGAGCCGATCGACATCATGGATGGATGGGCACATATTTTTCCTACCTACGTTTTGGATCTTCCCCGCTCCGGCCTGCCCTCGTCGAAGGTGGGCCGAGGCCCGCCAGTGGGCTTAGACCACACAAAGATCACCACGGAGACACGAGCTCAAGCCTCGAAGGGAAGGTAGTCCAGAGTTCGGTGGATAGGAGTTACCACGGTCGCGAGATCGGGGTATTTTCCTTCGGACCGAACTCTGGTAGCAGCCATGGGGTTGAGCCCTAATGCCCCGGTTTGGACACCGGGGCTAGTCAGCAGCAGAGAACGCAGGGGGGGTGGCTCGGATGGGTAGAGAGGGGCTGTACACTGCGCGGGTATGCAAGCGGGGAAGGAGTAGAGTCGGGCAAAGCAGGAAAGTTGCACCTGCCTGGGAACAAAGACACGCACCGGGCTGACACACACTTCAGCCAAAATATCCAAACGGCGATTTGTCAAAAACAATAAACAAGGAGTCGGAAACGGAGGAGATGGGGCCGGACGGGGCGTAGACTTGCTAGCAGCACCTCAGTCCCGGGTAGCTACCTACAATGGTCGGACTCTGGCTGTAACGGGAGCCAACGGATACGGCCGAGACTATAGTGTGCTCTACAAAGCGGCGCGTCTAGGCATCACTGTGGTGGGGATGCAGGAGACGAGGACGCGTGGTAAAACGGAGTTTACAGCAGCAGGATTCGGAGTGGTCTGTCACGGGAGCGACTAAGGTGCGATACATGGGGTGGGGCTAGCAGTGGAGGACTCGATGTGCCGCAACACCAATTACACGGTCGAATACGGTACCGGCGACCGCCTCAAGGCCATGAGGTTTGAGGGACAGAGCGAGAAGAACGGAGCGGAATTTCGTAACTACCTACGCACCGACAGAGGTCGCAGATCGTGAACAAAGGCATAGGTTCTGGGATGACCTCGACAACCTAATTCAGCGGATCCCGTCGAACGGGGAAGAGAACGGAGGGAGAGAACCTGGAGGAGGAGAGGGTCCTCGGCCCTTATGGTCGTGGTGAACTGAATGATAACGGCAAAAGACTGCTGAACTTCGCCATAGAGAACGAACTCGCCATCACCAACACCTTCTTCAGCACGCGCAAGGGTGGAATATCACACAACTTCAAAGGCGCCAAGGGCACAATGGTGGGCGACTTCAAGCGTATAGACTACATCCTAACGCGGCAGACGCAACGACGTCGCGTACGCAACGTGATCGTACACCTCGCCGTGTGGGACAAGCCGAAATGATGGCAGTTCAGTCACAGAGCGCTGTAGGAGGAAGTACAGAGGGAAAAGGTAATCGATGAATTCCTCGAAAATCTTGACCAGCTACCAGACCAGCACAATCTGAGCGCCCCGGAGGCCTAGAGGGAATTGACGCAAGCTATCCTTAAAGTAGCACAGTCAGTACTGCCCGCGGATACCCGGATACCACGCATACCGGAGTGGTGCCAGAACCCGGACACGATTACAGCAGTCGAGGGAACCCTTGCCAGGCACGCCGGGAGATGAAAACCGACTGGAACCCAGCAACATGGAAAGCTCTCCGGGCCGCTTGCAAGGCAGTACGTACAGCAGTCGATGGCAGCATCTATGCCCACCTGGAGAGGTATGTGGCTAGAACGGAATCAACCCTCGAAGATTGCGACATGCGGGGACTGTATAACTTCAAGAGCTCGGTAGGCCTAGGTGGGCGACAGACAGGGGGACAGCAGCCCGTAAAAGACGAGAATGGTGTCCTGCTGAGGAGCAAGCGTGAGATTCTCCATCGGCGGGCGAGGTTCTTTGGCTCTCTACTCAACGCTAAACCTCCCACGTTGAACCCGTCCATCATCGAGGAGGTACAGCAACGACCGGAGGTACCAACCACTGACGGTTTGCAACACCTGGGGTCGGCGCCGACCCTGGAAGAGACCCGGAGGGCAGTACGGGGGATGAAAAACTGGAAAACGCCTGGTCATGATTCCCTGCCGGTAGAAGTTCTCAACATCGACGAGGTAGACGACCCCATCGTGATCGAAGACTTCCACGCTATCCTCGTCAAGTGTGGAACAGGAGGCAGGTCCCGCAGGAATGGAAATATGCCGCCATCAAGGTACTCTACAAGAAGGCGGACCGATCCAACTGTAGTAACCGCAGGGGGATATCCCTTCTGTCACATGCGGGCAAGGTGCTCGTGAAGCAGCACGTGGGTATTTTTTTTGTCCTTGGTTGTTGCAGTCGCGTTTAACCTTGCAGCTGAATGCTTTATAATATTTCCGTATTCTTTGGAGGGAGTACGTTCAGTCGAGTTTTTTTTTCTACGAACTGAACCTAAAATATTTGGATACTTTGGATTCTATGTGAAGTCCTGAGTTAAGTGGTCGCTCTCTGCGGTGTGTTTCTGGCCGCGCGCACGAAATGGGATGATAGCGCGTTGTTTGACATGCATGAAGGCATACCGATCAGGAAGCAGGGGGGCTTTCGGAGTTCCAGTTGAGGAGACAGTTTGCATACGGTACGAACTTTTTCTGGAGTTTGATGCCTTGTGTGTTACGTGTTTTCATGTTTTTGTTTGTATCGCATGTTTTGCTGCTCTTGTGTCGAAAGTCATGGGGGGGGATGTCATGATGTCATGTATGCCATCATTCTAGAGGGCATGAGCAGCAATCGAATTGGTTTGTTTTCTGGTCGCGCCTACTTGTGTGTTAGTTGAACGGCAAAGCAAGGGGGCTTTTGGCATCGAAAAATTAGGTCGGGGTGAATTTTGGGAGCTGACAGCAGGGGGGCTGTTTGCGTGTATGCTTGCTTACCACGTTTTCTATCGTTTCTTGGACAACAGCGACGGTACCGAGTCGCGGGTGCGCGCTGTTTAGGATTTGGTCCTTGGACATTGTATTGGAGGAAGGATTTGACATGTTTTGACGATTAATGGTTGGGGCCGTTGTGCTTTCCGAATTCTCGTTTTGATTGGTCAAGAAGTTGAGTTTTTGTTTTGTTTGAGGATGTGGTGCCAACACTTTTGAAGTTGTTTTTTCCAGAAATATCCGTTTTCGTTCCGACGCCTTCCTGACGTAGCACAAATAATTGTTGGGTACCTTTCTGAGGATGATTATTTTGTGTCAACGGTTTGAATTCATTTCCAGAGGCGAACGCGTAGGATTCGTGAATAATCTGATGCAGACGCTTTGTGTTGAATGCGTAGCCAGTTTTTTTGAACAAGTTTTCTCAAGGGGTGTTTTTCTGTGTTGGCTGATTGCGCGTGAAGGGTCGCACGATCGCACATCGTATCAAGTAGGGGGGCTGTTTGTGGTACTTGGATATGAGTCCGATCTGTGCATCCTCTGTGGGGGATACGCGTATTGGAAGTATGGGTGTGATGGGTATGTATGCGGTTGGGGTCCAAGTGCGTTCCCCCCGAGTGATCACACGGCNAGTTTTCTCAAGGGGTGTTTTTCTGTGTTGGCTGATTGCGCGTGAAGGGTCGCACGATCGCACATCGTATCAAGTAGGGGGGCTGTTTGTGGTACTTGGATATGAGTCCGATCTGTGCATCCTCTGTGGGGGATACGCGTATTGGAAGTATGGGTGTGATGGGTATGTATGCGGTTGGGGTCCAAGTGCGTTCCCCCCGAGTGATCACACGGCGGTGTGCTCCCGGCACTTGCCTGAGGGGCTTGTGTGTTGGTGACCAGCTTGCCTGAGGGGCTTGCGTGACGTTAAATATATATGGTCCTTTTCTTCATCTGCTGTTCCTGGGATAACATAGCACCCAGTCCCAACACCGCAGACCGCTGAGGGCGGCAGTGCATAATAACAAGCTTTCCAAAGTCAAACTCCAGTACGAAACTTCAATCGCAAATTATTCGTCCGTTGACCCCCCCTCGTAGACATTGTTGGTATCCGAGATTATAGCCCTTGTGATACACTGTGGACAAGCGGTCCGCGATTTCCTAAACTATCCTTCTGTCATCGAGATCGGTGAGCTACAACAAGCAGGTTTATTGTTGTTTTCTTTCGAATTGCTTCATTGTTTTTGTTCGGTTTCTAAGCTACACGCTGGGGAGAGACACACACGGACCACACATCATCGTCGCTAGCCACGTTAACTACGAGGCGCGACGGTGACTCCTACAATCCCGTCTCTCTCCCCGCCAACAATACCAGCCGGGGGACTACGACTGCAAACGTAGGAGTCCCGAAACTGACCAAGGCCCCAAATGGTACACATCCTTCTACAACACCTAGAACCCGAATACTCCCGAGCTTATTCCCCCTTCGAAAGAAAAGGGACGGGAGGGCGGGATTTTCGCTATGATACTGCCGCCATCTACGTTAGGCGGCCATTGCTGTCCTTCTCTCCACACGCTCTGTAGCTTCCGTTCGTCACTCAACTTGCTACACCGCTGCCGCTTTCTTGTCAACGGAATGGCAGGAGGGAGTTCTACTTTCATCCCTGGTGACCCCGTACTTCCGAACAAATATTGAAACTACAATCCGAAACTGTCACCTCGTATACCGCAGTTTATTCTATCTGTTCGACGAAAAACTTTCCTGTCATTGTTGTGTGCTTTCGAATTGCTTCATGAATATTTCCGGTTTTTAGGCCACACGCTGGGGAAAGAGACACACGGAACACACATCATCTTCGCTAGCCACGTTGACAACGAGGCGCGGCGTTGACTCTTACAATCCCGTCTCTCTCCCCGCAAAAAATACCAGCCGGGGGACTACGACTGCAAATGTAGGAGTCCCGAAACTGACCAAGACCCCAAATGGTACACACCATTCTACAACACCCACATCGAGGTCATTTTCTAGACGACTACGTTTTGTTCCATACGATCCCTTCCCCCGGCTCACCCATTGCTGTTCCGCGCGGGCAGCGCTATACTTCAGTGAGCCAACACTTCAGTGATCTATCTGCTGTACGACCCTACGCGGCGAATGGTACGGAGTCAGCCAACGTCGCATGACACGACAACAACTTCACCACAAGAGCAACTGCACCGCTGCTTGCTCTCTCGCCTGACTGCCGTCCGGTGGCTTCGTCTCTCGTCGATAGTGGCTCAACCTTCCGTCGAGCCGCCCGCACCCCTATTTCCTAGTTCCGTCGCTGTCACTTCCATCTTCACCCTCGCCGTTACCCGAACCCGTGAGTCCCCCAACCCTTCGTCGCGCCCCCATCGACGTCGCTTCTGATCGTTCTCCGTTGGTACGGGCTGGGTTCTTCTCGTGGGCGTATGGGCAGTTCCCTTCGTGGCATCCGGTCCGGGAGTCGAAAGCGTAGCAGAAACCCGCTCGTTTCGACCCCCGTGCCTTCGTTCCCCGGGATCGCCTAGACGGTGAAAACAGTGGTTCCCCGGCCCGTATGGGAGGGCGGTAGTAAGCCGCGGCCCCAACTTCTCCCATGGTGACGTAGCCCGAGGTATTTTTCGAGTCGATAGTGGGGACCGCCGGGAAGTCTTCGATGACGTCTGGCGGCGCGACGTAGGTTGCCTTGAAACTGATTGCCACGTCGAACCATTTCGAGGCAATCACTTTCATGTCTTCGTTGATGAATCCAATACACGTGGAGATGCTGGCCACATTCCGCGCTTCGCCGCGGTGCGTGCGGCAGTGTTCACGAACCATCTCCAACCCTACGTTGAATGAATCCTCGATACTCACACGGGCGAGATGCTCTGGCTTGCTGATACCCTTCTTGAGGACTGTGATGATGGTACCAAACATGATCTATTGCGACTCGTCGAGGGGCACCTCAGCCTCTGGGTCGTCGGTTCCCCAACGGCAGTCTTCTACGTCCAGTGATGCCGCCACAAGCGGGGTTACGAATACACATTGAGCAGCATTGCTTGCCAATCTGCGGGCGAGGACGCGACACTGCCAGAGGCCGTCCCAGGACTAACCACGCTTTCACGCGGCGAAGGTTTTGTGGCGGCCTTGGCGGCGTCGGGCGTAGCGGTGGCAGGGGTACGCGGGGCGGCTAGTGACACCGGTCGCGCCAACGTCGTGTCCACCAACTCCACCCCCCTCTGTGGACCGTTGTCGCCTCCTTGGGATCTGTGCAGGTCGTCGATCACCGCCTGCAGCTGCTGCCGATCGCCGTCGGCCTCGTCGCGCTGCCGTTACAGCTCCTCCCTCAGACTCTCGACCAATCCTTGAAGGCTAGCCGGCCCGGGGTCGTCATTGGGCTCCATGTGGGCGCCGGCCGATCGTGCGCGCGTGGATGCTGCTCTGCTACGCGTAGGAGCGCATGATGTCGCGCGAGCCGATGTGCGTGACGCCTGCCTCGTAGCCGACCGACCGGCGGCCCTCCTGGAACGGGGTGAAGAGACCACCGCGGCTCGACCGCGTCCTCCCTGCCTCTCCGTCGCCCGGCCGCTGCGCGAACGCGTGGACGCCCGTCCCGAC